TATTCCTGACAAGTTTAGAACATCCTTCCACGACCACATGGGGATTTGAAAACCGGCCCTGGGATTTTCTTCTAGTTTTATTGTTTTGATTTTATCCCCCCTGGACACCTGATATTCCTGGAATTTATTTTTCTCTTCTTGCGACGTCTTCCCGGTATTTTTAAAGACAATACAAGGTGCGTATCTAAGTAGCATCTAATCCCAAACAGGTAACAGTTTGGTAACTAGTGTTATCATTTACGATGGCTGGAGAAACACACAACCTGATTTGAGACAATTTTTCTCATGTTACTTTGTCAACCTCTTTAGTCACTTAAAAGCTTGAGAGCCTAGCCCAGGAGACAAAAGGAGTGGAAAAGCTTATCTGACCCCAGTGATAAGGTCAGGGCACTTGTTTGCATTTTGCAAAGTGTGATGCAACCGTGTGCATTCAATATCAGGGCTTAGATTTCCCATAAACCTCTCCAGCATCTGAGAAGCACCACCTCTTGGGCATCTCTTGGATGAAGAGTAAACTCAGCAAAGTCTAATTATAGGCTCGTCTGACCCAGAAAATGCTACCCCCATCAATGCTTCCTATATGGTTTTCTTTGAAATCACTCAAAGAAAGCCTCCGAGTAAATAGGCACGTTTTGAAGCATTATTTTTAGAAGTCAGCGCTCCATGCACAAATAAGCCTGTCCGTCTGCCTTGGGGGATGTTTTCAGATTTTCAAAACTTTAACTCGGCGAGACAAGGGAGCCTCAGGGTTTTGCTTGATTTTAGTGATTGGTGACTCATTGATCTTACTTCAATCTGCAATTATTTGAGGACTCCTGTTTCTACCCTGGGATGACTTAATTGTTCTGAGCCCATTGGAATTTATGACCTCCCCACCCAGGGCGCTGTGTGTGGTGTCTCTGTGGTGAAAACTTCCTTTGCATCACTGGACACGGCATTTAGAGGTCAGCCTCACCTGGTTTGAACATGTGCTGGGTTTTGTTTTTTTTTAATTGGGGTCTTTTTTGAGGGGGAGATCAGGGCATTTCTAAAACAAGTGGGGTTGGAGCAGTTTGGAACCCGGATCCCATTTGCATGAAAATATGGCACCTGGTGCCCACATACACTGCTGTGCATGGGGGTGACTCAGCGGGGCTCACACTGGAGCAAGGCACGGACTTGTGTGGCTACACATATAATTATAAAATAAGTTTCATCACCTCCGATTACTCACGATGGGCCTGGCTCCATCCGCAAAGGCCCAAGCGCGCAGCATTGTCCAGAACGTAACCCACGAACTAGGTTACCATGAATTCCCTAACACATTAAACCCACGGGGCCGTCCCGTGACCAAGAAGAAATGAAAACCACAAGCCTGCAAAGCTGGGAACAGTGTGCGCTGCTCAATCTTGGAATCACTCCTCGCTAAGAAAATGTGCATCGGTGATCACTGAAAACACCCAAGCCCCGATAACTGCCCTTGAAACAGCTCGTCTGAGAAACTGGGAGCAAATACACTAACCACGGAAAACCACCCTGTTCTATTCCTATTACACAGGGGGCACCCAGTAGGGAGCTTTGTATTACGGGGAGATCTAAAGAGTGAAGTCTGAAACCCTTATCCTGTAGCTAAACACCTACCAGAATTTTCTGCCTGCCTCCAAAGACCAAATCCTAAGTGGACAGATCATCCAGCATGCAGTGATTAAAAAAAAAAACTCCCATCCCTGGCTGAGTCCAGATTCAACGCATTGCTGCGTTGTTTGAAGGATCGCTTTCCAGAAGCCCTGGGAAGGCCTCTTCTAACAAAGTATGGAAACCCACCCAAGTATATTTCCAAAGTATGGGTTTATCTCACTGAGGGACAATACACAGGGATATATTTAACTAAAAATATATAGAGGTGCCCCGGGGGCTCAGTCTGTAAAGTGTCTGCCTTCGGCTCAGGTCATGATCTCAGGGTCTTGGGATGGAGTCCCGGGTGGGGCTCCCTGCTCAGCGGGGAGCCTGCTTCTCCCCCTGCTTATACTCTCTCTTTCATAAATAAAGAAAATCTTTAAAATATATACTTATATTTTTTCATATATAAACATATGGTTATAAATATAAATTGTAATGTCCGCAAAGGCAGCTGAACATGTCTTTTAGAATATATATATTAGAATTTATAATAACATATATTAGAATATACATTACAGAATGTTAGAATATACTATATACGCCTAATAATATATATATATATAAGTTGTAAAGTCTGAAGGCAGCTGAACACCTCTTTTAGGCTATACATGTTACAACTTATAATAAAATATATTAAAATATATTAGAATATATTATGTCACAATATAATATATAATCTACATATCATTTTATGTATATATAAGTTGTAAAGTCTGTGAAAGCACTCTTTTAGAATATAGAAAGTAAGGGGCACCTGGGTGGCTCAGATGGTTAGGCCTTCGGCTCGGGTCATGATCCCAGGGTCCTGGGATCGAGCCCCACATCGGGCTCCTGGCTCGGCGGGGACCCTGCTTCTCCCTCTCCCTCTGCCTCTCTCCCTGCTCATGTTCTCTCTCTCTCTGTGTCTCAAATGAATAAATAAAAAATTAAAAAAAATTAAAAAGAATATAGATAAAATATTTTAGAAGATATATTCTAGAATAGAGTAGAATATAATGTATATAATATATAATATGTACACACTGTAAAGCCTGTGAAGGTAACAGTATACTTTTTAATTTTAACTCAGTATCTATACGCTTACATATACACACACATATACATATATGTGCACATACATTTGTATATATTTTTGTATGTGTGCATATATATTTGCTTGTATAATATATACACACATATGCATGCATATATACAAAATACATATGTATTCGAAATGAAGAATTCGTATACCGGGATTGTTGTGTGTTGTTTTGCGAGTCACAGGCTGTGGTTTCTGAAGAATTTTTATGATCCTTCCAGATGAAAGCTGCTTTGTACACCAAGGTGTTGCAAAACCTGCCCAAGATATTTATAGGAAGAGGTAGGTATGTGGTCAGTCTCGGGGGCCGGAGAGGAAGGAGTCGCATCAACTCTGCCACCCAGAGTTTAATTCTGAAAGTTTGTTCCTAACCCTTTTCTGCCTGGGTGCCCCTGGAAGGAAAAAGCATGTCCTAATTGACCTAGTCCCGACCACTAACGTTAGCTACCTAAGAGCATCACAGCGGCACGGGAGACGGGGACGTGCCCCCGAGGACAGCCCTGGGTCCCCCCAATTGCTCAGCAAGGCCTGTCGGTCCGAGCGCCTCCCTGTTCCAACCCGGTGCACGCGGCCTGCTCAGGGCACGCATTTTTTGCATTCCAGCTCAAGATTTGGCAACAAGCAGACAGCCAGGGGCCAGAAAGCCGCACCCCGAGCCCGCATCTGATTTCCTGGGGCCCCCTCCCAGTTGGCCAAGCCAGGCAGACGGGGCCTGGGGTCTGTAAAAATACAGCCCCCGCCCAAGGGCGGAAGGGCTAAGATGCCTCCAAACGAGGTGGGAGGCGGTATGTCCTCTCTTTGGAAGCTCAAAGTGTGGTCCGCGAGGCCGCAGCTGGGAACAGCCCTTCCCAGCCCCGCGTTTTAGCCGGACGCCCGGGGACAGGGTGGCCAGATAAAAGAGAGAACGTCCAGTTACATTACAGTTTCAGATACGCACTAGTCATCTCTTGTGTATAAAAGTATATCCAAATACGGCCTGGGACCTACCCTGCGGGGGTAGGGGTGGGGGTGGGACTCTCCTTGGGTATCTGAAATTCAAATGGATCTGGGGCGCCCTGCATTTCTTTTCCAAAATTATGCCAGGCGTGTTTAAAACAGCGACCCATCCAGGGGCACGCGTGGCGTTTTGGTTTTTTTGGGGGGGTTCTCTCTCTTAAACCTGTGTCTCCCTGGTTTTCTTTAAAAGATGGTTCTCTGGAAACAGTCATGGATTCGTAGGAAGGTGCCCAGAAACTGGAGGGAAGGGGGAGCCCGGCGCACTCGCGCGCCCGCCCCCCACGCCCCTCCTTCCTTAGCAAGCATTTTTCATCACCATGGTCCCCCCGAGAAACCAGGAAGCTGACACAGGCCGGGTTTTTATTCGCTAGACCCGGCAGCCGCCTTCGGGAACGCGCGGGCACCGAGAAGCAGCCACCCGAGCGTCCCACTAGCCTTCAGCTCCGGCTCAGTTTGATTTTTTAACTTTTGTTGGAGCCACGCCCTCCCCGTGCCCAGCGCGCCCCGCCTCCCGCCCTTCCCGGCTGGGGCGCCAGGAGCGCGGTGGCCGGCCCGCGCGTCCCCCGGGGAAGCTGGGCTGGGCTGGGGACCCCACCCCCGGGGCGCCCCCGGCGGCGCAGGGGGCACGGCCACCTCCCCAACGCCGCCCGCCCCCGCGCGCCGGCCTCTCGGATCCGGGCCTGGGGCGCGGCGGGGGCGGGGCGCGGGGGCCCCAGCGACACCCCGGTCGGCGGGCCGAGCCCGGGCGGGCGCCGGGGCGGGCTGGAGAGCGCGCAGCCCCGCCCAGGCCGCTTCCGCCCGGCCCCCCAGCAGCGCGCACGCAGCGCGGGCGCGGGCCACG